ATGCCCAAAGATCTTTTCAAAGGATAAGAATCATTTGAATAAAATGTTAAAATTTACATTTATTGAAGTAGAAAAATTGTTTTTAAAACTGGATAAGATTGAGAAACATATTTTATAGAAATTTATTATATTTTATAATTATAAAAATTACTTTTTTAATTAAATTGCAGGAGAAAAATATTCAGCTCTCAAGTACACAATCAAATTACCTAGAAAAACAGCAACGACGAAGATTAAAATTCCATTCAATGTATTCTACATTAGTTATTAATTCAATAAAATTTTTAATAAATTTAAGTTCTGTTAATGTATTCCTTTTTTTTATGAAGTTTTCAATGTATTTTCCAATGCAAAAATAAATAATAAATTCTTAATAAAAAAATTCACAATTGAAAACCCATGCATAGCACGTTTTGATCACTTGTTTTATTTTATTGATAGGAGCCATCAATGTAAAATTAGTTTTAACAAATTGCACTGTTTTTATAATTTTGAATATTACATATTTTATTTTAAAAAATATTATGTAACTTAAATTGTATTAAATTACTAAAAAATATACTGTTATGGCATTTAGCTGGCATCAAAGAAGGCTAGGACCTAATACAGATTAGAAAAATGCTATAATATCTGGTTTCTCAGTTTCTTTATGACAAAAAGCTGCTGGTATTTTATTTTTATTTTATTAAATTTTAAGGGATAAACAATAAAAGCAATTATCTCGTACAAATAATTATTAGTTTTATTACCAAATCTTAATTGCAACTGCTTTAGAAAAAAAGATTAAAGGATAAATAAAATTGTTCCCAATTCAACCCTTCTCTATACCCTACTCAAGTGTGACCTATACCAAAATATTAAATTTCTTGAGGTATAAAGTATAAACAATCATATATGATTTTTCTGATTCAATAACTTCATACACTAAGCTTGGGTAATGAGAGTTCTTGATGTTAAATACTACCTCTGTTGTTTTTAATAAGATTTTGTCAAACTTATCCAAATAAACTAGGTAGCATTTTACTGTAAGGTGAATGAAGACTCACATTGATATCATCCAAGTACCCACAACATAAACCAGGAAAGTAACCTGACAATTGAAATTATAACATTAACTTAACAAACCACTAGAATACCGAATAGGTGAATATATTTCTGCCCCCTGTTTATTTCCAATACCATGAACTACCATACCAATCACTCCAGTAGCAGAACAAATAATGTAAGTTAATAAATCATCAAGGAAAGAAACAAAACAAAAGATGACAAACATAAAGGCAGTTGCATACTGTGCATGGGTGGATAATGGAAGTGCTGCATATCCAATTACTACCTGCCAAGTAAAAGAACAGAGCTACTTAGGATTGCAATAAAAGATAGAATGAGATGAGTGCGAAACAGGCCAAATCACTAACCAACGAGTATACAACCACTAAGACAAGGTTCAGATGATTTTGTATTATTTCAATTGGAAGGAAAAGAAAAAAGGATCTCATTGAACTCACTGGTTTTGGAGCTTCTAGTTTCATTTGAAGATCAACATGGAAGAAAGTGAATAGAAGGTGATGCAATGGTGTCCAAACAGTAGGGAGAGAAACTTTAATTTCATCATGGTAGCAGGCCACCCAAGCACCAACAGCAACTTGTGTGTGAGCCCACTTCTGAAGTGATAAACCAGGTTCCCTTGGATACATTGCCTAGTCATATCAGTAACACAGAAAGAACAATAAGACGAGTTTAAAAATCATAGTGCAAATTATCAGTCAACAATTTTACCTCTAAAGGTTGTCTACGAACATCTGCATCATCCTTTCTTAGCTCAACTCTTACGAATAGATTCCTTTTCCAACTCAAGCTCACAGTTAAAGGATATACATATAGAGAATGGAAAAGCTGCACGAATGGTTCGTTTCTCAAAGTTGTCCGAAAGTCAAATGCCTGGAACTGCAGATTAAAATTAAGAAACTAATTACGGGTAAACAAGTTCCACACGAATAAAAAAAAAAAAAAAGTTGCATTGGTAAGAGGCATTCAAACTTCAAAGGAAGATAGAATAGCTCCAACACATATAAGTTTTCATGAGAGGAGTTGCTTGGACAAGCAACATCCATATAAAGATCATTACACCAAATGTAGCATATGACTGGAAAGCAACTTCCATGATTAACCTCAGCTAAATTTCCAAGCAAGTCGAAAAATAATGACTAATTGAATAGAATTCAAGTACATCAACTTTACTTTAGAAAGCAATTCTCATCATTTAAATGCCCCATGCCATATGGAATTGGCATCAAGAGGCACAGAAAGAATGCTTCTGCTCTTTCACATGCATCAACTAAGGGATAACAGGAGATGATTTGAAAGATGATTAAGGGTTGCTTTTGGAGCACAGAAAATTAGCATCTGGATATT